ATTGACCGTCAGGTACTTCTGCCAAGTCTCCCTTGTCGTGGTCCAGGTACCAGTACTTCGTACCTCGCATGAGACCCACGCATCGCGCGTCCATCCACGCCGTCCCTGCGTGCTTGTTCGTATCACGCCCCCGGAGAGGTTCTGGGTACGAAGTATCTCTCTGTCTAGCCCTGCCAGTTTCTGGAGCCTTTCCGCCAACTTGACTTCTAGGCCTTCGTATTCGTCCGCCCATTGCTACTCTTCGAGGCAGTTGTTGCGTGCTCGCCCGCTGAAGCTCGCTGCTCGCGCATGTCGCCGAGTCTTTCTGCTGGCGTTGGTCTTGGAATCTGGTGACGGCAGGGAACCATCGCAGAAACTAAACTAACACGGCCGCCACGTCCACCGACATGAGCGGAGATCTGACGCTCTCGATAGCACAATGCGGAAAGGCTCTATGGCATAGTCAAGCTCGTAACGTGATGAGAGAGAAAACATGTCCACTGACCTTTTGCGTACCCCTGGTGGTATTGTCGTCAGGCATGGGCAGGGTCAATCCCAGCAAACAAGTTTTCGTCCACTATGGGTGTCGATCCGCCGAACCCAGCAGAGGACGTCATCATGAACGGGCGCCAGGTGCCAAAAGCATATCCCACCATCCGTCAACGAAGATTCTACTCCTCGAGTCAGACGCAGAAGCCGTTCGTTCCCATTGCGCAACCAGGAACTACTTTCCTAGGGAATCTTCAGCCGAAAGTGGGTGTCGCACAATCGAGTTGTCATACATCGTTGCCGTATGGCCTGTCGTCTTCGGCCGGCCGCGAGCTTGGTCAATTTATCGCGGATTATGCCCTAGCACTCCCGCCGCGCGACCGTTGAAGCGTGGAGCTTGGGCCTGGGCTGGGACGTTGCGAATCAGGGACCACTCATGTTAGGCCGTCTTTTGACTTCATCCGAGCTTCGGGTGGCTCATAACTTTGCGGCCGGGTTTGTGATCCTGAATCGCGCGGGATCTCCAAGCTTCGATGCGAGACCGCCAGGAGGGCGCCATCGGAAGCCATCCTTCCCCAAGTGCCGAGCCTCCCATCACCGGCCTCATCCATGATTCCGGGGTTGAGAGCGAGAGCTGAGGCTTCATATGTGATCAACTTTGGGAGATTGAGCTTATCTCTCCATATTGACGGCAATATACCGTGCAGCGCCGAAATGAAGCCTTGTGTCCTGACAGCGAATCTCAGCGCTTCGCGTCGTCAAGCGACAAGCGACACAGGGCGGCCCCATCGGTTGTTCGGGGGCTCCTTGTCAAAGAGTCCCTTTGACAGTGCTTATCCCAGGGACTATGCATGTTGGGCCCTGCAGGAGATGGTTGGATCCCTCTCCAACACCGAAAGGGTTTCTCTTCCGCTTGCGCAGCCTGCCAGCTCTCCTTGAGAAGTTTGCGTTTCACCGCTATACGTCGCTTCCCGTTTCTGTGTCTCATCAGATGGCCGTATCCGACGACGATATTGGCAGATTGGGTCCCGGGGGCCTTCATATTCCTGCTTGGTGCAGCAAACCGGTTTCCCTCGTCAATGGACTGCATTTCAGCCAGCCAAGAATCCAACAGAGTTTAACGATGGCGCTCCCCTTGGCCAGGGCAAATCTAGGAAAAGTAAACATCTGAGGAGACTGATGCCTCCTTTGTTTCATCAGGGCGCATTGATTCTGGGGCCTGCGGGCCAATCGATCTTGATGTTTCATGGCACGCGGGATTGAGCCTTTGCCATGAGACGTCTTTGCTTTGTTCCAGAATTCAGACAGATCTGTTACCCCTTGCCAGGGACGGATGGCGACTTCAGGGGCGTGCATCTCGGTGGACAGAAAAGCAAAGAGACCATCCATCGGGGTTGGATCGGACGGGCTAACGCACCGCCACGTGGATGCGATGTGCGATTCTCACGCAGTAGCCCGGCTCCCAAGGTCCAGAGTTTCCCGCTGTCGGGTTCGCGGATCTGGTGAGGAGGGACTCTGAGGAACTGACTCACAAAGCAGCGCTCTGCATTCGTATTCAGAGACTCCGAGACGAGATGGTAGTATATGTCGGTTCGGTCATGAAACTGTTCGCCGCACCGCGCAGAGGACGCATGTCACGACAACTCGCCTGGCTGTGCTTGCTGCATCTGCAGCATTACCGAAACCACGCGAGATGAGTGGTAAGACGGGACTGGCAAAACGCCTGGGCGAGGTTATCCCGGCGACCGCGAGGTAACACAGCCTGGCGCAGAGTAATCAGGTCCCGGCCGACCATCGCCAATAACCACTCAAACAGACGTCTTGACCGGGTTGCCGGTGTTACTTCGTAATAGGCTCTAGCATGTTCGTGCGTCAGCCTGGTGCCGAGAGCAAAGTGCTTATGCCGTGCTTGGGTCGTTGCCCATGATCGATTGGCTGTCAGCATTGGCATGTCGTAATGGCTAATGACAGACAACAAGTATTTGGTCTTGAAAGTTTCCAGAAAGACAATGGTACCTAGTTGATTGTTTATCTTGACGAGTTGTGTGGCAAGAGAGCCAAGCTATGAGCTTGATAGGACGTCAACTCCCTCAGCCTCATGATCGAAGGCATCACGAGAAGAGTGCAAGTAGTAAATTCCTCTCCGATGCAGGTCACGATGTGTAGCCGATATACGAACAGGCCGACATATCATAATCATATTGCTAAAAATACGATGGTTGCTTTGTATCAATATTATTGCACAGCATCAGTGTTGTCTGCCCGTTCAGATGGCTCAACCCCGAGATACCAGCACCAGGTTAAACATATCCTCTAATATGAGCCAATTGAACAGTAAGAATGATGAACTTGAAATGAAACTAAAGTATCACTTTCTGTTGGCATATTTCTTTATTAATTCGGCAACTTTTATGCTAATTCACTTCGAATATTTGAGAAGAGTTGGGTTTTCTTTACCAAAGTTTCTGCTGGTGTCTCGTTTATATTTCAACCCACACACGTTGTGGCCACAACTGCTGCACATCTCGTCTAGAGTTGTATGTAGGACCAAGGTATCTCCGCCGTAGCAATCGTTGAAGAACAACGTTCAAAGGCGGATAAAATATCATTTTACTTGTTCAAGCCACACAAGTGAAACCTGTTATTCCCATGATCAGCTTGTGTTCCAGACTGTGCTAGTACGTTGTGAGTCACGTGATCTATTTTGAAGTGTTTCCACGGCAACACCGACTTCGTGTTTACCGCCCCTCCATTCCCAAGCATCGCGATAAGCACGGAAAAAGTGGCAACGCACACACGCTCGCAGTATTCCAGTCCATCCAGCATAGTGACAGAATCAGCAAACATGGCGTACAACCCGAGAATGAGCATTATCCCAACCTCGCAGCAGCAGTCGCGGCCGCGAAAGAAGGAAGAGGAGGCCGACGCCTTCATGCGTCTATCAGACCGCGAAATCGTGGGCTGCATCACCGAAATCGGCATCAACTTTACCGTCGCCGACCTTCAGAAACCCAATGCCGTCCATATTCAGCAGATCTTTGAATGGTTTGCTGAGCTCCTCCTCAATGCGACGCGCGAAACTGTCGAGCCAGCCATGCGCGCTGCTGCCGAAGATATCTGCGGCGAGTTTGCGGATGTCATCCCCCCGGACACACGCAACCTGATGGGCTTCTACGTCTCGCTGCGCAGGCTCCTGTTTGAGTGCGGAATCACCGACTTCAGCTTCAACGACCTGTACCGACCTACATATGATCGCCTGGTTAAGATCTTCAGCTACGTGATCAACTTTGTGCGGTTCCGGGAGTCGCAGACCGCCGTCATCGACCAGCACTATAACAAGGCAGAGTCGACCAAGACACGTATCGAGACTCTCTACACTGAGAACATGGAGAACGAGGGTCGGCTGGAAGATATGCGACACAACCAAAGGGCGATGGAAGCCCAGGTCAGAGAGAAGACGATGAGGAACGAAGAACTCAAGAAGAGGCTGCTGGAGCTCCGAAGGAACCAGGAGAAGGTCGCTGCGCGACTTGAGGATGCGAAGCAAAAGAAGGGCGAGCTCACTTCTTTGCTAGAGCAAAAGACACAAGAAAAGGTCACTTTGAAGCAAGAGAGCACCAAGCTGCGACCTTATGTGCTTCAGAGCCCTTCCGCTCTTCAAGACAACCTGACGGAACTTCGCGAGATTCTCAACAACGACAAGTCCCACATCGATGCTCTGGACCGCCGAGCCAGAGCTCTTCAGACTTCAACAGACTCCTTCTCTGTCGTCTCCACTGATGTAGCATCCTGCATCAAGATCCTGGACGAGATTGCATCGGAGCTGTCCAAAGAGGAGGAGGAACTGGCGCGCAACGCAAAGCAGCGAGACGCTCTCTCGGAGCGCAATAACAACGCTCATGAGGTGGAGCGCGCCGAGGGTCTCCTAAAGCGCCAGCTTTCCAAGTGGACAGAACGAACGGAGAAGCTCCGCGAGCGCAGCAACCAAAAGGCGCAGGAGGCCAAGGAGAGGATGCAAGAGCTCAGCGCTGTGCACAAGCAGCTCACGGCTGAGCGCAACGAGAAGGGCAAGGAGATGGAGGTCCGACGTGTGAGGATCGAACAAACAGAGAAGAAGGTCAGTTGTCCCCATTTCTTGATTGACAGCACTATAGAATGCTAACTCGATGTCAGATGCTCGACCTGAAGGAGAACATTGAGAATGAAGTTCATAGCGCACACGAAGAGTATCGAAAGATGGAGGCTCATATCGAGCTCTACATTGCAGAGATGGAGCAGGCTATTGCTTAAGTCAGTCTTTGGCTCGTTACCTTTGTCTGTTTGCTTTAGGGTTGGGCGGCAATGCTTGGAATAGATACCATGGGCTGGCGTTAGGGTGGTTTATCACGATATGTTATGTAGTGTTTATGTGTATCTCGAGCATAATGATGATGATGCGATGATGTTGATGTGGAATATGATCAATATCCCTGTTTGATACATGTTGCCTCAAGGTATATCTCTGAACTTTGGTCTGATCGATGAGAGGTATCTCATGTGATATCGTTCTTTCGGTCCTCAAACTCGAACCAGCGACTCATTACCTGGCGGACAGTGACGCCCCGTCCGCTCCATGAACCATCATCCCTCCTCGATGTACCATTCAGCAGAGGGACCATTTCTCCCCCAAGGTGCTCGATATCGTCATGGCCTCCTATCCCCTTGGGTTCGATAGCCACTGCTCGAAACGCATTCCGCGAAGCAGAATCAACCAAGAGTGCTGCTGAGTTACCGATACCCTGAGCAGACCACTCACCAGCATCTCGGTGAAGTGCCAAGAGTCCATATACCAGGAGTATTGGTGCACGAGTACTGGGGGCGTGATTTGGCGGCGCTGACACTGGAGAGTCCTTGGGCGTGAAGACGGAAAGTTGTGCGCGAAGATGTGTGACTGTGGGGGCGAATATGATTCGCATATGACGAGATATGGCGATCTGATAGAGTGATGCTGTGAGGAAGGAATGAGAAGGTGATGATATCTCGGGATCTTTGTTTTGGAGAGTGAGATGGTGTGTGATGTCTTGGACAAGAGACTGTTGAAATTCGGTCTTTGTAGAGCACATCACTATAGTTGTTGGGTATCGGTGATAAGAGATGATGTATGACAAGAGTTCTGAGGGTGTTGCTGGAGAGAGGACGATGGGTTGAGATGCCATGTTCTTGAGATGTAGTTGTCCAGGGTAGTTGATCCGGCGAAGAGGCGACACTGTGGACCTATTCGGGTCTGAGGTTAAGGAATGATGTCTTTGGAGCTTAAGAATCTTCCCTTTGGATGTCTTGTTATTCTCTCCATTTGGTCACGAGGCTGAACCACTTGTTTTGGTTGTGGTACCAAGATCTCATCTTCTGTGTCTGGTGTTGAGGCAGCTCCCCCACCAATCGTGGCGCCCCTCCACCTCCACCAGCCGCGACGCCTTCCATCGCACAACGTCATTCCAAACACCTACACCCAACCCTTTGACCAGGGCACCTTTTTTTCCCCCTCTCCTCGACGCGGTAGAAGCTCCCACGCTCACTCGTCATTATGGAGTCAATAGCGAGGATCTCGAGTCTCATGGAGACTGGTGCGTATCCTTTGCTGACCGCTTTGTCTATGCGCTAAACTGACTGATGCTTCAGCGAGGGAGCTCACCCTAGATGCTGCTCAGGCGACGCGCGGTGCGCGCACGAGCTCGAGACCTCTGGATCGGAACCAGATGAGGAAGCTGCTGGATAGCCGGAACGAGCGCGAGGTTCTCGAGGGTCTACGGCGCGTCATGGCGGTGCGTGTTGTTGTCTTGAGCGTGAAGAATAGGCGCTAACATGTCTGCGGTAGATGATGTATCGAAACCACAAGACCCTACCCTTCTTCTCGTCCGTCGTCAAGAATGTCGCCTCCCCGAACCTCGAAATCAAGAAGCTCGTCTACATCTACCTAATCCACCATGCCGAGCAGGAGCCCGACCTTGCCCTCCTGTCCATCAACACGATACAGAAATCCCTATCCGACCAGAACCCCCAAGTCCGAGCTCTCGCCCTCAAGACCATGTCGGGCATCCGAGTCCCCGTCATCAGCCAGATTGTGTCCCTTGCTATCAAGAAGGGCGTCGCCGACATGAGCCCCTACGTACGCAAGGCCGCCGCCCTCGCGATTCCCAAGTGCCATCGATTAGACCCGAGCCAAGCGCCGCAGTTGATCGATTACTTGTCGACTCTCCTGGGCGACAAGCTGTATTATGTGGCTGGAGCAGCTGTGTCGGCCTTCCTAGAGGTCTGTCCAGACCGGATAGATCTCATCCACAAGCACTACCGAGCGTTGATCAAGCAGGTGGTGGATATGGACGAATGGAGCCAGCTGGCTACAATACGACTTATGATGTATTATGCGCGGAGGTGCTTCCCTCGGAAGTCGGAGCCTTCAGGGGAATCCGAGGAGCAGTCTCAGGACCAGAATGTGGACGATTTTTATGGCGAGTCCCGGCAAGGTGGCCGAGGCCAGGGATCGTCAGTATTGGATCCTGACTTGGCGCTGCTCCTGAATGGCCTCAAGCCTCTTCTGCAGAGCCGCAATGCCGGAGTCGTTGTCGCTGTGACTAGATGTTACGTCGACATTGGAACACCGGACTATGTCAAGCTCGCAACCGGCCCCTTGATTGCTCTTCTCCGTGGAGCTCAAGACATACAGCAAACTGCGCTATTCAACATTGTTTCTGTATGCCTTATGCGGCCTGCCGACTTTGTCAAGTACGCAAGCCACTTCCTTGTCCGAGCCACCGATCCTGCTCCCGTCTGGGAGTTGAAGCTGGAGATCTTGACCATCATCTTTCCTCACAGCCCACCCCATGTCAAGAGTCTCATCTTGAAAGAGTTGGAGCATTTCTCGCAGGGAACCAACAAAGCTCTCGTCCGTGAGGCTGTCCGTGCTATTGGTCGCTGTGCGCAGGCCGATGTCACTACAGCCCCCCGATGCCTGAAGCTGTTGCTGGGCCAGATCACCAGTCTAGACGGAACTCTTGCAGCTGAGTCGCTAACGGTAATTCGTCACCTGATTCAACAGGATGTGCAGGGCCATATAGGAACGGTGGTTCGGCTGGCGAAGAACCTCGACTCTGCTACGGATCCTCAAGCGCGAGCTACAATCATCTGGCTGGTGGGTGAATTCTCAGGGCTGAATGGAGAAGACAACATTGCGCCAGATGTTCTCCGTATCTTGCTCAAGGAGTTTTCCAGCGAATCACCGGCAGCCAAGCAGCAGATTCTGCTTCTGGCTGCCAAGGTCTATCTTCACCACCTTAACCGGAAGAGTGAGACAGAGCAGCAGAGAGAGGCGGAGGAAGACCCCCCTATGGAGACAGACACCCATCCTATTGCACGTCTCTGGGAGTATACTCTGCTGCTTGTAAGATATGATAGATCCTTTGATCTTCGTGATCGGGCAAGGATGTACCGGTCCCTACTTGCCGTCCCTCAGCTGGCTACGCTGATGCTCCTCGCCGAGAAGCCTGCTCCACAGGCCCCAAGTCCATCAGAATCCCGAAAAGGCTTTTTGCTTGGTTCTGCCACTCTGGTACTCGCCGGTGGTGGCGCTATTCATGGACTAAGGGGGTACGAACCTCTGCCTGACTGGGTAGAGGAGGGAAAGCAGCCTGACCGTCGCCTCCGTGAGCCCGAGGGAGGACAGAGCTCCCGATACGATGTCGAGAGAAGCACACTCCCAGCTGGTGAAAGACTTGACGAGGCAGCCAAAACTTTTGTGCCAAGCAAGACAAACGGTACAGGCGAGGGTGTAGGTGCTAAGACTCTGGATGACTGGCTTGCGGAGGAGGAAGAGGAGAGTGAGGAGACGGAAGAGGAAAGCGAGGAAGAATCTACTGATGATGAGGAAGAAGATGAAGAGGAGGACGATGATGATGACGACGACGATGACGACGAAGAGGAGACGGACAGTGACGATGACGGGGAGACGGATAGACTGGTCAAATCCTAATAGTGATAGACAGCATTACCATGAGAAATACGCTCAATTCGGCTCGCCCGAGTCTGCAATATCGATCTAGTATCCGTAACAATATCCAACGTCTTGTGTGTTGCTTCCAACTAAGGAATGGTGGCCATCTTTGCCCTTGTTTTCACCCCTTAACGAACCAGTTCTAATTCCAAACCCTTATCTACGCAGTCTGAGAGTTTTCAACCTTTCTCTCGTCAGATGACTCTGCAGTCATCTCGGCCTCAGTCACATTCTTTTCGCTTAAGCCCGTCGCCATCTGGGGGAAGAAAAGTCCTGGGTGGAAAGCGGTTAGGAGGAAGCCTGTGATCAAGACTAGGGAGCTGTCGAGGACGAGGAAACTGGGCTCGTCTTGCATGATGTGGTTGCCCCATCCGCCAGCCATCTCGGCGATTCTGTAACGAACGGGTTAGTTGGTGTTGACATGAAAGAGAGGGTAAGGGGAACTGACCGGTAGATGCAACGGGTGAGGATAGAACAGTAAGCTCCAACGACAGCAAACGTGAAGCGTCGAAACTTGGTATCTGTCCAAACCCTCAAGGCCGCGGGATCAACCTCGGAGCTGTGGATGTACTTTCTCACCCTGAGGTAGTAATCGGTGCCCATTACACCAAAACCCAACAAGACGATAACCTGAAGAACGACACCAGCGATGATGGTTCGGTTACCACTCTCAGCAACACCAGGCTGGTCCCTCTTTGCGGCTGCCGCAACACCGCCGCCGATGGCCTGGATGATGAGACATGACAGGTCGGCGGGGAGGAAGACGCGTGGGTACCAACGAGGGTGGAAGCGTGAGAGGGAGGGGTTGAGTGCGAGGGCGACGTGCTTGAGGGTGAGGTAGATGGCGGCGCAGATGAAGGTTGGCGCGATGATGATACAGCAGATCTGGAGCTGGAAGGCGGCAGAATTCCAGGGGTTGGGGTTCATGAGGGCTCGACCGATGTAGCCTAGGTGAAAGTGTTAGAGAGGGCAAGATATCGTCGAGTGTTGTTGGTCTTACCTAGTGTCTCGAGGAGTAAGCCTACTCCAAGAGTGGCAGCATACGTCCAAGTCTTTTTCCACACGCCCAGTCCTACACTCGAGATACACAGGATGCCAAAGGCGAGGGCAAAGAAGATGCTGGATCCCCTGTTGGGGACATAGCCAAGAACGGTGGCATCGACTGGACACAGGGCCGAGATTTCGGAACAGTCATCGAAGCTGGCTGGTCTTCGACGAGCCAGCTCATTAAGCACCGCGTCGAGCATGTTGCGATAGATTCGAAGAGTCTTGTTTCCTTTGTTGTTTTCGTCTCGGGTTTGTCGGATATTGGGGTGTTTTTTTCAACTCCGCTCAAGTTTTCGTCACAGTCGATAATCTCTTTTTGTCAAAAACAACAATTATAAAGAAGAGAAATAGAAAGATAAGATGTCGAGGAGAGAAGAAAGCACCGTAAGACGAGATTACTGCTGACCCGATTCGATTACACCACCACTCTCGTTCATCAAACCCGGCTACGGAAACTTGTTTAAGCACCGGGGCATCCAACGGATTTAAAGGATCAACCGGAGTTCGGGCACCCTTTTGTTACCAACGACCAGGGGATGCATAGAAGTAAACGTCACATCACGCTGACTTGCCTGGGGGCCTCGAGTCGGTTTAAAGTCATTCCTAGACGCTGATCCTGTCAAAGCTGACGGCATTCTCTGAAAGCGAGGGACCCAATAATAACCGCCCGGAAGGCCAGAGTTCCGGACACCACCTTCATCACAACCTCGCTTAGAGGTGTATTTCCTTTCTGGGTATCTCGTTCGAAAGGTCAGAAAAAGCTCCGAGGGAGAGCTAAGCTAGTTGATGAGCGGCGGCCGAACCCTGGTGGCGGCGCCACGGGAGCGGGCCAACCTGGTCCGCATGGAAGCAGGGATTCGGAGAGATTTAGATTGCCGAGTCTTGAGTTTGCTTGTTTCATCTTTTTTTGAATCAGATTTTTTGAGATGCGTGTAGAGAGAGGCTGAGAGTGGTAGTTGTCTAGGCTGAGTTTTTCGAGGCTGTTATGATATTGATTGAGGAATTGTAGTGGGTTTTTAGCTGGGACGGCCTTGGTCATTCTCCTTTTGAGCTGGCGATAGGGTCGTTCTCACATGTTTTCAAGTGAGGCAAGACAAAGCCCCCAAAGTGCATATCTGATTGCCCAACGAGTCGACGTAGACGGGCAAACTGACGGGCCAACGTCTTCTCCGTCTCAAGCCACTTAGGTGGTTACCCCAGACGTCAGCCACAGGCATTCCACAACATGGCACTCGTGGCGATTCGTGCATACAGACGTAGGTTCAAGCAACCAACTTGATGAAAACAAGCTTTAGACAATGAGATACCTGCTTTCTTGTTCACGTACTCTACAGTTGTGATATTGCTGGGGTATCTTTTAGTTCGGGTCTGCAAGCGTGACGTACTTGTAACTCGCCATGAGGAAATGCGAAATCACTTGCCGAGCTTCCTGTGATTAACGATGGAGCAGCCGACAGATAGCTTCCGTCTCGAAATTTCACTTGATGGGTTATTACTCAAGGTTCGCTGCTCATTTGTTTGAGACTGTCCACCTATTGAGGTCGTAAACGCTTGTCGCGGACTGGCTTTTTATAAGAAATTACATGGGAACAACAATGTTCGACAGCTTGTGTTTGGCTTGGTGTGTAGAAAGAGAGCAAACTGGCTGCGGGGGAGGATGGTTTATTCAACGGTCCTGTTCCAGGAGACAATCATGCATGGACTGCGTGGAGTAATGCCCGTCGTTTCCGGCCTGCTGCTGCTTTAAAAGTTGTATTGCGTTTCTTACTAAACCACGCTGAGATTGACTCGGTGTACTACTTGTTAGCCAACCACCTTGGCAGGGCCGTTTGACCAGGATTGGCTTGGAGGCTGGCTGATACCTAGACGGCCGATAGCATTCACTCTTGAGCTTTCACATGTGGGGTCGATTTAAGTCAACATGGTACGAATGAATGAATGTGATGGCTTCATGTTACACAAATAGAGTACGCTCTCTAAGGCCCCGTGACTGACGAGTCCAGATGTCACCGTGCTGCAGACAAGCACACTGATCCCTCAGCTATAAAGTCTTGTATTCACATATCGTTTTACGCGAGTCTGACGTATCTATATACCTACCCAATTCTACTCCTCCTTGCCGCCCAGATATCTGTAAACGACAGAAAAGTCCCGTCCCTGACACCTCTCTTCCTTCTCAGCAGCCTCATACACCGCAAAAGCCGGCTTGGCCAGCTCCATCCTCGCGCCAGCCTCCTCAGCCGCCACAATGGCGAGTCTAAGGTCCTTCTTCATGAGTCCGATTCCGAAGCCGCCGCGGTAGTCACGGTTCGCTGGTGCAGTCTCGACGACGCCCGCAACGGGGTTGTTGACCTCGCTTGGCCAGCACTTGCCCGTGCTCACGTTGATGACACCCGCCAGCTTCTTGGGATCCAGACCCCATTGCATTCCCAGGTTCATGGCCTCGGCGGTGGCGATGTTGTTGAGGGCTAGGAGGTAGTTGTTGGCGAGCTTGGCGGAGAGACCGGCACCCTGCTCACCGCAGTGGAGAACCTTTTTACCCATGAGGAGCAGAACGGGCTCCAATCGAGGAACAAGAGATGGGGGAGATCCAAGCATAAAGGTAAGAGTTCCGGCAGTAGCTCCTACGACACCACCAGACATGGGGGCATCAACAAATGTGCCTTGACCAGCAGATGAGACGGTCTTGGCAACTTGACGAGAAGTCGAAGGGTCGATGGTTGAGCAGTCAATAAAAACACGGTCTTTCTTGGGGAGAGAGTCTGTAATTATAGACTTGTAGACACCCTGGACATGCTGAGGTTCGGGGAGGACGGTGATGACAGTATCCTGAACATGTTAGTAGCTGAAGTGGATCACGACGACTAACAAGACTCACAGCATCTTTCGAGGCATCAAACGCGCTGGCAGCCAGCTCAACCGCCGCACCAGTTGAAGCCGCCTTCATCTCCGTCTCAAGGCCCTTCATGGACTCGGGGTTGATGTCAAAGATGGACACCTTGTCCGAGGGCTTTAACTTGGATTGCAGGTTCTTGGCCATTTGGTAACCCTATATTACTCTAGTTAGGACCCTTGTAAAGTAGAAGTGAAGGTTAATGTACCATCTGTCCAAGACCGACAAAGGCATAGTTATCCAGTCGTCGTGCTGAACTAGCAAAACCTCGTCGAAGCACGAGGCTTCCAAGTCGTGTTGAAGGTCTCATAATGTGTACAAGGGTATATAACGAAGAGTTACAACAGCAGAGAAGTTACACAAGAGATCAAGTTTTCAAGCTAAAGAGGGAAGCACAAGATATATGGAAGCAAGAGCTCTCTCAATTGCTGAGAAGACGTGTGGGGGAGAGTGGTTACCCGAAAGAGAGCCGGCCATTGCCGCACATAGCCAGAGAGGTACCGAGTTAGATTCACGAACGCGGGAGTTGGAGATGATGGAGAGATTGAATCGTGCGGGGAAACACGCGGGGGATCAAGTGCGCTAAAACATGGAGCCGGAGTCGCTAGAATTCTGTTGGTTCTAGGGGACTTTTCACTATGACCCAGCAACCGTGGACACCTCAGATCGGATTCGACTGATGGACGCTACTCGGCATCGGCTATTCAACACCGAAGGCATCAGGGACATATCTTTTGTGTGTTATTTTTTATTAGTGTTTTTCTTCATATCCTTATATAGGTAGATAGTCCGATCAGAGTCATTACAAAACGCCTCTTCTCCAGCCCCTCTCTCCTCCACGGGCATCCATCCATCAACTTCAACACGTTCATCCACCAGCCGCCTTCCCCTCACCTCAATCTCTTCTCCAGAAGTGAACCGGTTCAAAATAGAAACCTGAATTCGCCAGCCTATCTAGTGCTTGCGGTTTCCAGGGGTCAAAGGGGGTATGTGCAAAGGGAAAAGATTTTGGGTAATAAAGTAATAAGAAAAAAAAGAGCATAGTGTTGTGGTATAATGGGAGAGGTCAAGGTTAAAAAAAAAGGACATTGATAGGTAGGTAGGACGTCGACGAGTCTGTTACTCTGTAACATCTCGTCCTGACAAGGGGTAATGGGTAGTGATCCGTGAACAAGACACAAATGACACGAGAAAAAGACAAACAACCAAAGACAAGAACCGCGCCGATCCAACCGCCCGTCCCATATTGCAGCCATGGTCGTAGTGGAACCGCCCGAATCCCTGGCTTGGGTCAAAGATTTGGGTTCCGAAGACATGACATTCGTAGCTTAGATAAAGTTCATGAGCCAAGGGACAATGGCGCTGCCGACTTGTTAGCAATGGTTCATCTAAAAATTCAGAGGCGCAAATGTCTTACCCAACCGCAACGGTGGCACCCAGTCCAAGCAGTGCTCGGTTCTTGACCTTTTCTTTCCGTAGCTCAGCCTCTGTCTTGACCTTCTTTGCCCTGGGCTGTTCCTCTTCTCGAGTCTCTTCGGTCTTGTCGGCGGCATCCTTGTCGCCTACTGAGATATCGGCGGCCTTTCGCTTGCTCTTCTTAGCAGAAGGAGGTGCCTCCTCTGTCTCGGGCGCCTCTTCTTGTGCCTCTTCACCCTCTGTTTCGGGCTTGGCCTGTTGCTCCTCCTCCTTGTTCTTCTGAACCATCTCCTTGGCAGCCTCCATCATCTGAGCAATCTCCTCAGCGCTTGGCGGCTCGCCAGCAGTGGGCAGAGGAAGTTCGACCTCGGTCACGGTGTGCTTGGTCTCAATTCCGTCCGCATCGGTTGACACCTCCTCCTCGACGTGAACCTTGACCTTGGGCTCCTCCTCCTTGGGCTCTAGAACGATAGCGGGCTCAAACTCGGTCGACTGCATGACAATGTCCTCCTGCTTGGTCTCCTTGGTCTCGCCATTGACGAGATCCGTCTTCTCGGTGATGGTCTCAACGGCCTCGACCTTGGTGCGGAGGCTTCGCTTTCGGGGCGATGCAGCTGCGCGCCTCGTGGTCTTGGTGGGGCTGGCTGAGCGGCGAGACCGAGTAGTTCGAGGAATCACGGTTGGAGTAGGAGGAGCCAGTGTAGGCTGTGACAACTTGACCGGGTCAAACTTGGGGGGCGCCGTAATGTTCTTGGGCGGCGAGTCCGCGGTGCTGGTGACGGAAATCTTGGCGGGATCGAGCAGGGCGCGGATCCAAGGGGTAATCTGATACTCATCGGCGAGGGCGAGAGCCTGCTCCGGGGGGATCCAGATGTTTCCGGCCGTCTCTTCGGGGCTCGTAGTCGCCAGAGACTTGATAAACTTGCGCTCGGCTTCCTCGTCGGCTGCTTCGGCGTATGGGAAGGTGGCCTTGAACATGCCGGTGGCTGAGACGTAACCGTCGAAGCTGCGGCGCATCAGGAAGTAGCTGTTGGGGCTCGACTTGAAGATGCCCGAGACGATGCCCTTGGGCAGAGGAGCCCGCAGATGGGCGTAGTCGAAGACGCCAAGAGACTGCTCAGCCTCACCGGTGCCGACCATCTTAGGTGTCAGCTTGGTCTGTCCGAGGCGTCGGCGCGCGACCAGATCCGTATCTACAAAACATGGGTGAGCCTGCAAAGTCGCGACATCGAAGCAGGTGGGTGGTCTATACAATCCGGGATATCCTCCATCATGAGAGGGTTGTGCTTCGTAGGAAGCATGCGCTCGGCGTTGGGGGCCATCTTGTCCAATTGCTTCTCGATCGCGATCGATCCGTGTTACCTCTGGGCCGACAAAATGAATCCAAATCGCGGGACTCGACGTGGTTTATCGGCGCGCAAGGGAGAGTAAGATGAATGAACGAGCCCGCGAAGCTGGAGATGGCGCGTCAGATGGTGAAGGTGAAGAGAGTTGGGCGCAGAATTGCTCGCAATTCGGGCGACGGGCCGGGGGAGAGTTTGGCCTTTTTCGACGTACCGTGTCAACGCAGGGCTTCAATTCATTCAGTAAAAAGTAACCCTTGAAGAGCATACAATCGCGCTTCAGGCGAAAGATTCTGGGAGGTAAAAGACCAGCGGTAACGGTGCTTTGGGCCGGAAATAGAGAGGGAGCGAAGAATGAAGAAGATGAAGCAGATGAGGGTGAAAAAGGATCGCGACAGGCTCGACGAGGGAAGAGCTGAGACGGGAATCCAGACGCGCAAATTACATGCTGGATAGCGTAGAGGGTTTTAGCGGGCGGCCCTGTTGGGCGGGTTCGGCGGCCCAGGTACGTACCGAGAGCCCGAAGGGGACTAGCTCCGTGTGTAGGAGTGGGGTGCTGCGAGATATAGTGGTACTTGCAGTGCCGCACAGTTCACACGCAGCATCAAGTCTCCTGTTAATGGTGCGGCCAAATTACCCCCATCAACACGCCAAACTTGATGGACACCTGACTTGACATTACCCGATGGGTTCCAGTGCCATCTGGTTAGTGTGTACGTACCTCCTTTCTTGTGCAGGGTCATTTTCACAACAAAAGGAGCCACCATTTATTGGCCTTTATTGTTCGATGGGCGCTAGACGGCGTTAAATAATTCTATTCCCAGCTCGCCTCTTTCCCCCTCGTTTCCATGGATGCCATGCTCGATTCCGTTGGCGCGCACGTGGGGGACTGGCCGATGGGTTGCGCTGTTGGATGGATGATGGATGTGTCTGCCGCCCCTAGCAACCACACTCACCCTACCTAGCGACAACGCCAACGCCAGCGCCGATCCAGGTCAGAAGTGAACCACCCCCAAACAAGTCCCCGGTCCCCCTGGCGTTCGCTGCGCCCGGCGCGCCAGCAGGCGACTGCTCGCCCAGAAGAACGCGGGGAAATGGCATGGGTTTGGGCTTTGGCGGCGCCATGTCACAGAGGACTCGTCATGGAAGCGAGATGCCGAAACATGTCCAGAGACAGACGTCCACTGGCAAGTCATTGACAGAGCCGAGAAACGGGTGCGACTCGTTGCCAATGGTCTCATTCCGTCTGCTGAGCCCGGCGACAAATGGGCTGCTTACAGCTCTACTGCTGCCGAGGTCGACGAATGGCGGCGTAACAAGTCACTTATCGCGCGTCTGGCATCGCATGCCGCCGTGCCTGTTTGGGCTGTCGCAGCACTGATCCGATGTTCCAAGAGGTCTAGAAGGGGTCGGGTCCAAAGGGATTGCCGGCTCGGGACGAACAGAATGGATGGGCCGCTCTTCAGCGATCTTCTTCGCTGGCTTTCTCCCCACGAGATCTCAACCCCAGACCACGCTTCTTTTCCTGACAGACCGTCTTCACATGGAGTTCCCTGCGAGACATTCTATATGTGCTAGATGCTATCGTCTCTATATCGCTGAGGTCTCCGATTTGTCGAGGTGCATTCGCATAGCGGCGAGGGGCGAGTCAATGCATGAGCATCCATTCGTCCTGTCATGCGCCCACTGCTGAGCTGCTGCGGTACGCGGGGAAAGCACGCAGTGGCAATTGAGTGCGTTACTTGATGTAGGTGAGCGGGGATTGACAGAGGCATTCTTAAGCCAGGAATGAGAGGATTGTGGTGATGTTAACATTGCCAAACAAGGTTTAATGATGTTGGTCGAAATACGATACGTGGTTGAAGCAATTCGAATTGCCTGTAGAAAGACGAAAAAAAGTGTGTCCAACTCCTCCTCCTCAACTAGCAGTGCTGCAACGGACTATCCTGGCCTACCTGGGCTATCTCGATGCTGCAATCCATGTCTCAGTTGCAGTTACAGGCACCCAGCTTCCCGTCTGCTCACACAACCCAGAGGCTCAAAGCCACAGCCGCCATAACCCCTCTGAAAACAAGCCTCACCTCATCCTCCAGGCTCTCCTTCACCAGCCCAACCCCTGACCAGCACATCTCCATACCAACTGCAGCCATTGGCGACTCGTCCGTATTCAAACGCATCAAGCCCAATCAACATTCGCGAGTCAGCCTCCTGAAACCCCACCAGACGACGAGGATACCTAGGTAGCGACCGCCAAAAGCAAGAGCCCACCCTAGCACGCACCTACAGCAGAGGAACACCGCCTAGACAGCCCCTCCATCGTCACCGCAACAAGCAAGCAACCTACCAAAGCCCCTCCAAGGACCAAGGACCAAGCTCACCTCTCCCCTGCTTCAACGAGTAAGCTTCTTCTCTTTTCTTCTCCCCCTCCTCCTCTCCTCTTTCTTTTTTCTCTACCCCAACCTTCACTTCTTCTCTCTACTATATCTTGAGCAGCCATTCACAGCTGCTGTAGCCATCTCTCTTCGACCTCAACCTCTCGGTGCTCTCCGCTCTTCTCCTATCCCCCGCCTTCCTCCAGCCTCGCCCCGCTCGCCCACCATGGCTTCTCACGATGATGATACCATGCCCGAGGAGACTCAGGGCTACAAGCTCTCTCAGCCCAAGCAGAGTCTGGCTGAGTACCAGCAGATGGGTAGGTGCAGCAGCTCCCCGTACCCCCCGCCGACTTCCGTCCCGGCCTATCGTCAAGCCTCTGCAGCACATGCTTCTGTCCCATGTGGCACCGCCTTGCAAGCTCGCACCAACATGACATGATGATTTGATGCATCTGTGCTATGTGTAGCTCTCTGGCTCAAGCCGAGCTATGTCAGAGCGCATGAGCTGTGCTTCATTCTTGGATTATCTTGTCTGGCTCAGCTTCCCCTCGGCGCAACACAAAGCACCCTGCTTACCGCTTCTCCCACGCCACCCCTCCAAACCCCGAGACTACTCAATGCTAACATTCTTTCTCTCAAGATGCTGGCGATGAGTCCCTGCAGCGATACAAGGAGTCTCTCGGTCTCGGTGGTGGCACCGACATCTCTGACCCCAACGACCCCCGAGTCTGCATCATCCTGTCCCTGACCATGGACTCTCCCGGCCGCGACCCCGTCACCATTGACCTCTCTACTCCCGGCAGCGAGAACACCCTCAAGGACAAGCCCTTCACAATCAAGGAGGGAGCCAAGTTTACCATGAGCGCCAAGTTCAAGGTCCAGCACGAGATCCTCAGCGGTCTTCACTACGTTCAGGTCGTTAAGCGAAAGGGTATCCGGGTCTCCAAGGACTCTGAGATGATTGTGCGTTTTCCTGGCAGCTTCTGAGCTAAGCAGCATGCTGACACACTGTACAGGGCAGCTACGCTCCCAACACTGACCGACAGACCACCTACGAGAAGCGATGTAAGTCTGACATGGTTACTGCTTATATCCAGCCATTGACACCGCCACAGTCCAGGAGGAGGAGGCCCCCAGCGGCATGCTCGCCCGCGGCCACTACAACGCCGTCTCGAGCTTCGTGGATGACGACAAGAAGAAGCATCTCGAGTTCGAGTGGAGCTTCGACATTGCCAAGGACTGGTAGACCTGTAAAGGGTACCAAGGCACGACCTAACAGGTTTGGGTCGTGTATCCCTAGGAATCGCACATAAACAAATACCACAAGCCATGAGATAATGAGATACCTGAACATTGGATAAGGACGCAACACACACAAAAACCCACATAAAAAGAGAAAATCGAGGATCGGAGCCGGGGATGGGGATGGGTGGATGCTTTGTTTCTATCATCTAGCTCGTCGCAGACGAGGCAATACTTCAACCTCACTTCCGAGTCTCAAGACTCCAAGGAGGGAAAAAATCCGATATGCATCAAGCTCTATTTGCTATGCAACAACTCTATCTACCGCTCGGGTCCGTCAATATGCCTACTTAAAGGATCTGGTATCACATCGTTGTAAAATGTCATCAAGCCCAAGCTGGTGTGGCTTCAGGCGGTGTGTTGTATATGTATGTATGGGTTGCTCAGAGGAAATAGTCTGGCAAGGCATTACCGTCGGCAGACTTTTCGTTCCCGGGCTGCAGCTCCTTATGCATGTCATTCTCGGGGGCGGCTGCAAAGACGTTGAAGAAACGTTCCCCTGTATCGCTAACCTCGAGAACGCTGGCCATGTTGCCGCAGCGGTAGCAGTAGTTGGGAGCGCTCCAGACCGTGCTGAGCCGGTCGTCGTAGAGCACCTGGAAACCCTCTTGGCAGAGCTGGTGGGCCCTGAGAATGTGCGACATGTTGTTGACGGCCAGGAACTTCTTAACCACCTGGGCTCCAAACGTGTAGCCAGCACCTCGCGGGGAGAGGGAGAACTCGTCGCGCTCGGGGTCGGGATCGGACCAGACGAGGTCGGCCATGGGGCCTTCGTGGGGGATCTCGCGGAAGCGATCTATGATTTTGATTTGGTCGATAGAATGGATAGAGGGGGAAAGGCCTAGACGTTGCATTAGAGCTGCTGCAGAGGAAACGCGGGCTTGAAACTGACCGCCGTGGACGCAGAATATTTGGTCGTTGATGACGACACTCAAAGTCAAAAAGTCAAACATGTCGGTAAAGTAGTGCCACACGTTGGCATTGCCATACTTGCGCGAGCACTCGGTGTAGAAGCCATATGACTGGGTGACGCCGCGCGACTCGTGGTTCCCGCGGATCAGATGCACGCGATTGGGGTATCGTAGTTTTAAACACACAAGCAGCGAGATGGTCTCTACGCTGAACATGCCGCGGTCGACATAGTCTCCTGTTCCCCGATGGTGGTTAGCCAGAGGTTTGTATCTCGTCCGCTGCGAGGGCGATTACCGAGGAAGAGGTAGTTTGTGTCGGGGCAGTAGCCGCCGATGCGAAAGATCTCGATCAGATCAAAGAACTGGCCGTGGATGTCGCCGACGACGGTGATGGGGGCGCGGACGTGGACGACATTGCTCTCGCGCATCAGGAGCTCCTTTGTCTTTGCGCAGATGGCCTCGATGACGGACTCGGCTAGGAGTTCCTTCTTGTACAGGCGCGAGATGCACTCGTCGAGGTCGACGGATGCTGTTGCGACCCGGGGATATCAGCCTGCGAGCTCTAGTGGCCCTTTCGATGGCGGGGGCGGGCGCTTACATGGTAGCCCAGGCATTGTGTGTAAGGTACGGTGCGTATGTGCGGGGAGGAGGAAAAGGCGACCGAGAGGTTCAGTTGGAGAAGATGGTCGTTGGTATCGAGGGGACTCGTGCGCCCGGAGTCATTAAGGCTGGCGGCGGCGGCTCCTGGCGGGGATGATGTCTGGAGGAGAGCTTGGTGGTTGTACCAACATGATCGATCGGGAGACGAAGCGGGACAAGTTCACATTGGGCGCGAGCGTTTCAAGGGAGGCGGTCGAGAGCGAGAGTGGCGTGAGGACACTAGAAGGAGTATCGCGACATGGTGAAGGGAGCGAGAGAAGCGATCATGTTGAAGGCACGGGCGAACGAGGTTTGCTTGTTAGGGCGGTGGGATGTTTAGCCTGGTGTCGTGTGAATTGCTTAGTCGTCGCTGATCACACAGCTCGGCGGGGAAAAATGCCCGGCCGAGCTCCCCCACACTTTGACACCACCATCGGCAGATGGCAGATGAGAGCTGGAACTTGCCGGTAGTTGACGGCGAGTCCAGTCTTTTATGGATGTAGCTTGCCTTTTGGACTGGCTGCTATGAAGTTGGGAGTAATACGGCTCGGAGTTTAAGGTAAGTAGGTGAGTAGTTCGTTTTGTCTATTCAACCTCCGATATCACAAGGGCAGTTTCGTAAGTAAAACACCACACTGTTTTTTTTTACATATTCTAGTGTCTTTTTAACCCGACCAACCATAGCTCCTCTATAGGCACGTTAAGAGTGTCTCTTTGCTTGCGCGGGGACTGCTAGAGCATCATCTAAGTCTCTATAAAAATAATATAGAAATAGGTTGATCTCTGATCTCAGTTTTAGTGAGCATAGGAAGAGACTCATCATAATTGGTCTAGATGTACGATCGGAGTTCTGTCTGCAACCTTGATCATCGTCTCGATGGCCCGTTATGATCCTATAATGTGTTGGCAATGTGTTGTTTGTTTTAGTTGAAGCTCGGCCCTTGATGAGTAAACTGAGCCAGAAGATCGCCTCAACGGCCCCCCACAGTCATGAAATACAAGCTACCTGTCACTGCGTCCACATTCTTAGGCGCACCAAGATACAAAAGATCTGTGCCGTCAGATCTCATCATGGCTTGTAGACGTTGTACTCCCTTGCCCGTTACAGCCTTGAGCTCGTTATTCGTCCACCCGGCGCTGCCAGTCTTCTCAAGAACCCAAGCACTACCACCAGAGACACAATAGTAGATGCGAACAGTTGTGCCGTCGTGAGTTATGCCGATAGCAGCGCTCGTGTTTTCGCCTGAAAAGACCAACTCACGAGCCCAAGGGTTCGTCGTGCCAAATGTCGCCCTCGCGCGGTTGATTTGCCATCCCTGATAGGACTTGGGAGCGAAACGGTATGCGATGTTGATATGGACCTCGCCAGCTGCGCCCTCATAGAGGGCAAGCTTTGCGCTCTGGAACGCGGGGACAGGTGTAGCACCGGTGTCTCCATCATAGGTCTCGCCAGATGTGAGGGGCTGGAAGACAATGTCCTTGGTCTCCTGAGTGATGGGCAAGGTGACGGTCGCTCCAGAGGCGGATCGATACTTATCCGACGAAGGCGTATAACGCACATAGCTTCCCTCATGGCGAACTCCAGAGGCAGGGAACTTGGCCCATTCCCACTGGAGATGAACATCGCCGTCGGAAGAGAACTGGATATCATCGGGGTACACCGAGTAGTCTGTTCTGTAGGCAAAGATGCTGATCCGCGCCCATTTCTTGGAAGAAGTCGTATACTTGTAAAAGTAGCCGCCTCGAGCTGAACCGTCATTGCTCGATTGTCCTCTGACAATCATCCAGAGGTTACCGTCAGCATCACGCTTCACCACGGGGTACGTGACCCGAAGGGTGTGGTCAGGCATCTCTGAGCTGCGATCCACGAGGGTCGCACTGTTAGCTGAGGAAGAACGAAAGTAGTTCCATGGCTCGTTGTGCATGCTCGTGAAGACGTGGACGTAACCGTCTCCGTCGACAGCAATGCTCGGGGTGTTGTGGCCGTTGTCGTCAAGGAACTCGGCGCACTCTCCACTCGAGGTCTTTAGACAATCCCGCGAGATTGCACCGTTATCTGAGCACGACGAACAACCATGACATTGTGGTTGGCTGTCGATCCCTCCAGAGGATTTCGCAGATAGGTTAGCCACTGGTAGCCGTTGAACTCGTCGAGGGGATTCCACCACGCCGATTGACTGTTCACATCGACTGCTGAAGAAATGGTGACGAGGGTGCCAGGGCTGATCGTGGCAGAGACAGTTGCCAGAAGGCAAGCAAAAGAGATGGAGGCCCTCATGTTGACAACCAGATCAAACCGAGACGCATAGGCAAGGAGGATGAGGTCAAACCTCGCTCATGACATCGTCTTGAGTGTTTATATACCTATCTCTTGTGACGCCTCGGCTATGTATGAATGCGGACCTCTCGGAGTTGAAGTAACATGATGATGGTCGTATGAATGGATACCAGGTGGGGTCAGATGCAGGAGTTTCATCACGGTGATAATTAACCTTGAAGGTGATGTGGATGCCAGGAAGCATAGATATCTCGAGATATCATATCATGCTTGGCTGAAGGACCAAGCTCGATCTCAGGTCCTTCCATGGTCAGTAACGGCAAAAAGCGCTGACAATCTATCAAGTTAAATCTGAAAGATTGAACGTTTTGAAACATGTGCAGCTTGTAGAAGCCTTCATTCAGACAAAGCTCCGGGGTCATGGCTGGCGGTGGTGGTCCGGATGGCGTGTCGAGAGCGGAACCCCGGACTGAAGCCCTATGCCTACGGGAGATCCGCCTCGACGGATAATTCCGGGTAAATTAAAGTGATAGGTGACAGGTGGGATATTTGTAGGCATATCGACCCAGGATGGGGGTCAAGTCAGTCTTGTTTCATAAGAGTTGCCTGCTTTGGTTGCGATGCTATATGTTGGACGGCGTCTGCCCTTATTGTCGAGTGTTTGTAAGGCGATGTCATATTGCCGCTCCATGTGGTAGTGAATCGTCAAAGATCTATTAGTAGAATATGCGAACTGGGCTGTGAGCGCAAACAGTCTCGAGCGAGGTTTGACTGCTATAATGTATACGTGCGCATCGGCTGGGTACCTAGAAAACGAACTCTACTTCACTGTATTCCAGTTTAGGTAAGTACCCAACTCAAATTCGATATAGCAAACCAAGGATATTATTCATGCGCATTCAAACAAATGAATAATTCGTCCTCTCAACGTGTTTGCTCATCAAAAAGCGAAATTAAATGTCAAGATAAGGCTCGGAAAAACGAGTGTCTCCCTCGAGATGAGATGCCTGAAGTTTATTTTATCGTACTTTATGCATTGTTTCGTTTTGCTCTGACTCTGACTCGGCAGTGACCTGGTCCGTGCGCACGCGACAACCTCAGCATCGGATCTCTACGACCCAATGAGTGGCATCGCCATCTCTGTTACTCAGGCTGCAACGGAATCCACCTCTTCACCGACCCGAGGGCTTCAATAGAATCACCCTGAGCCCTCCAAGGATCAACTGGATGAGGCCCCTCTGAGCGTTTCCCCCGCAAGCAAGCCCGTGCAGGTTCCGCCGAGGGGGTCCTTGCGCATTGGATGTCGCGTCCGCGCGCTGTCGCTGTTGGCAAGCCTTGGGCTGTAGTATCCCAACGCCCTCACTCCTCGACTATTATTGCTGCTGCTGCTCTCCAGTCACGCCGAGGACTCTGTTGTGCAACCTATCACAGCGTCACATGAGACTGGCCTCAGAACAGACCGCCCGCCCAGCTCTTGTCTCTGGTTTGTCCTGTCGACGTCCAGCGCGGAAATCGTCTTCGCGCCCGACCAAGTCGCTGACGAGGCTGTCGTCGCTTTCTCTTTGCCATCCATCCGCCTGTATTATAGACGCCACCACCTTGGTTGAATTTCGGGCATAGCATTTCTTTCTCCCTGGAAATCCGCTTCCCTTAACTGCTGTCGCTTCCTGGTACGTCGAGTTACATCATCATCATGCCTGACTCGGCCCCAGGCCAGACACGGCCAGATGAGGCTCGCTGCTATAACTGCGGCACCTCGGGCCATTGGGCTATCGCATGTCCAGAGCCTACTCGAGAAACTCCAGCGTAAGTTGTCTAAAGTCTGGTCACAGCGGCTGTACGCTGCTAACTATCCTGCAGAGGTCTCGCAGCTTGGAGGAATGCCAATACTTCGGGTCAAGGGGGCCACAAGGAGCAGCATGGAGGTTCGAAAAAGTCCAAGGGACCCATCATCACCAAGTACGCCCCTACTCCAGCTCCAGGGTCAGTTGTGACCAGATACGGGCCTCCCCCAGGCTATGGTCCTCCGCCTGCGCCTTACCCCGGAGCTCCCTCCTATCCTCCCCAGTACCCTCCATATGGATCTGCGGCTCCTGGTTATACGCCCGGCTACGCACCTCCAGGTTACTCGCATTCATACCCTCCGCCCTCATACGGTGGTCCGCCTCCAGGTCTCCCTCCTCCTCCTGGTCCATCCGCACCATATGGCCCTCCTCCTCCACCTCAACCAACTCAGCCGCCGGGGCCACCACCCTCATCATACTCACGGCCATATGGTCCTCCACCAACTCCCCGTCAGGATCATGCGCCCTACAGCTCGCACCCACCATATCAGTCATATCCTCCGCCTACGCCCCCGCCATACGGACAGCATGCGCCTCCGTACCCCCCTCCCTTTCCTCCTCACAGTGCGCCACCTGGATATGGACATCCTCCACCTCCTAGGCTAGGCCCATCTCCAGGACCACCTCCCACACCACAGCCCAGCCGAGCATCGGGATCACCACCTATACCACGCCCAAGCACAGTCTCAACGCTTCCCTTGCCACCATCTCTACCTCCCAAGCCATCCCTCCCTCCGAAACCACCTCAACCTGGTCGTCGCCGTGATTTTCCTGACCACTCTCGTGATCACCGGAATAATAGACGAAGACATGAGCGCCATAACCGCAACCATGATAACCGGCAGAAGAAAAATCAGCCTCATCCTCGGCAACCGGAGCGGCAACCGGAGCAGAAACCTCACGAAAATCACCAAAAACCTGAAACAAAAGCTCCAAGTCTTCCGAAACCAATCCCATCACCGAAACAGGAGCAAATAGCACAACCCGCCCCTAAACAAGAATCGAGCACACCCATTGAAAAGGTTGAAACGAAAAGGCCTGACACCGAGGTCTCGAAACCTGTTCCACCACAAGTACCTGATACGACGCCCAATAATGCCACTGACGCAGATGACCTGGAATGGGATGAGAAGACAGTCTTCAAGGAGCTAGAAACGGCACATCCACCAGATGAAGTGGGCAAGCCTCTGCCTGCAGAGTACAATGACGAGGTGCTTCTTCCTAGAAAGTGGGATGCAAAATGCATCGAATCGAACTATGTCAAGGCTGACAATATCGAGGAGTATGTCAAGCCGATACATGAAACGCCGTATTGGTCATCGATCGAATTCGACCCAGCATTTGTGCGAGATGGCAAGCTCCCCAGCGGAGAAGCGGTATCTAAGCTCCCAGCTGAGTTTCCGACCAAGGGCTCCGAAGCAGTGCGGAGTGAAAGCTCCGAGAGTGGGGAGGTCCATGAGCAACGCTCCAAACGTGGCCATTCTAGTGACAATGACCGTGCCGAGCGACCTCTCAAGAGACAGAGATCCCAGAGTGCTTCTAACCCCAGCCGCAGAGGATCAAACGACGGGGATTCCAGTCGGTGGGACAGGCAGGGGGTCAAGCGCAGATCACGTCGGGACAGTTCCGGACATCGGGGAACGGAGGCTCGTGGACAGGATCGACGATCTCCCGAAAGAACAATATCTTACCATCGAGATCGGAGTCGAGAAGATCGCAGCAGGGGTCGAAGCAGAGATCGTAGCAGAGGTCGAAGCAGAGACCGCAGCCGTGGTCGCAGTCGAACACGCACTCATACTCCAGCCTCGCGGTCAGTATCCAACGCCTCATCCGGGTTGGACTCGTTGGAAGCCGAGCTACTGGGGCGAGATACCAAGGCCAAGACTCCTGAGGAAACACCGAAACGAAAGCCATCTGGGAGTAACAAGCCCAAGCGTCGCCAAACGAAGCTCGACTCTGCATACAGGTAAGCCACCAAAGCGTCGTGAAGCACCACTAGCTAATTCTTGAATAGCCGCCGTTGGTAGGCCATATCTAGCCATACACGTTCTCGCCCTCACCTTCTACTCGAATGGTATCATGTTCCTTTTTTGTTCTTCCTCCACGGGACCGCAGCTCTGTTGCGTGACCCTAGGCCAGGCACTGCTCCCTCACGTTTCCTTTTCTCTTCCCACTCGTCAGCTAGGGTCTAAAGCTTTTCCGGAACGGCGCTCTGGTATTGGTTTACATTTAACGATTTCATGACCAAGGTGCATGGCCGGCGTCTTCTATAGCATTCACGAGGTATGCGTGAATACATTCTTAATCTTACTCCCATTCGGTCCATATGACATTTTTCCAACTGTTCTTCTATTTCCATTGACCGTACTCCGTCCTCCTGGCTGCTCCAGATTCCATACATGATACCATGGTTCTGGCCGTGTCATAGCCAACCCCGTGCCCTGTGTGCCTGGCCTCCCCTCTTTCTCTTCCCATCCTTCTAACTTGATGACAATGACAAGATGCCAGATGCTTGAGATGGAGCGCAGAGACGCATCAATGGCCGAAGTAGGTGCGTATACGCTATGGGTCTCTGTAGCACATACATGGATGTCCTATAGGACTTGTCCAGCCCTCCCCTACACGACACGCTAGATAGGCGCCTAGTTCTTGCGGGCAATCTCCATGCGCTTCTTGAGACGGTAGGCAAAGGCCCGCTTGCGCGCTGCGGCAGACTGCGTGAAGGCACCAGAACCGCCAAAGGGACCAGCAGCCGCGCCGTTGCGAACACGGACGATGCAGACATTCTCGGCACCTCCAACGCTGCCCTCGCAGGTCATTCCCTCGGGCATGCGCACCTTGAGGGGGAAGTCGGTGTTGGTGGCCAAAGACAGGCCCTGGATGCCGAGTCCTGGGACGTCCTCGGTGACCTCGGCTGACTGGAAGGCATCAGGGTCGGTGCCACCAGATGTAGCATCAATGTCAGCGGTCATGGGGCCAGCGCCATCTTGGTTGACCTGCAAATGTTAGTGGCTGGTGCTACCTCGAGTAAGGAAGACATACCTGTCTGTAGGTGAGTGTCACTTCACCATCATCCGACGCGGTGGGAAGGCCAGAGGAAGCACCGTCGCCGGCAGAGGCTGCAACGCGAGCCTCAGGGGGGCCATCGCTCTTGTCGCCGCCCCTTCCTGCGGCACCGCCTCCGAAGAGACCGCCCAGGAGGTTGCCAAGCTGTCGGCGGTGCTTTCGCGCGCCGGGCAGGTTGGACAAGTTATCCTCAACTCCCACGCTCTCAGAGGAGCCATTGTTGGTTGGGACGTTGCCACCCGTACCAAGAAAGTTGGAAATCATGACGGAAGCGTCAACGGGACCATTGCCCTGGGTCCGGCCAAGGGCACTGGCTTCACCGCTGCGAATCTCGCGGTCACGGATGATGGAAGTGTCGGCCTGAGAGCCGCACCTGTTGCTGGAGCAATCACGAGGAGTTCCATCCGCGACTTGTCTGTGTTAGTAGACCTTTTCAAGTGAAGGGGGATAAGACGTACTGCTCAGACCGGGCATGGAGACACCGTTGGCGCCCTCAACAGACATGACCACGCCGTGGGCCGAGACGGCGGTGGCAAGAACAGAGACAGTGAAGAAACGCATCTTGAAGGTCCTTGAAGTTTTTGAAAAGAGGTATTACAGTGAGTAAGGTGTAGAATGAGTTGCCTCCAGGGCGTTGAATGTAGATGGATAGAAGAGAGTAGAACAGAGAAGACTGGCTTGCAGTTGAATTGATAGACCACATTACAAAGATCTTTTCTTCTTATATACCTTTTTTTTTTCAAGGCTCACATGTTGGTCACATCTCGGTGAAGCATACAAGTCCCAACTTGGAGGTCGTCGCGAAAGAGGGTAGCTGTGAAGCAGACTAGCCCAGCAACAGCTTCAGGTGTTGCTGCTGCTGCTGCTGGTTGATGTCTGTCCGTTGAGGCTGAGCATGTACTGGTGCGGTTCAGGTTTCGAAGTTTTGGTTTCGTGTTTTGGTCAGGCTGGAGACGGTGCCCCAATCACGGGCGTGATTCGAAACTTGAACTCGGTGGTTTTTGAAGGTCAAAGCACAGTCAGTTGGAGTAATACTGTGATGACTACCAAATTAACTCTTTCCTGCATATTAAACAATTCAATTTTGATAACACTTACTCTTTAAAGTCTTTATTACTCTAAAAACATCTTTAATACATTTTATTCTTCTCTTGCAAGTCAGTTCAAGTCAACCACTTGTGTAGTTTCAACCTCTACCCACCCTGCAAGTTTCAGGACACCTCTTGGCCACCGTCCTCCAAATGCGATTGGACTCCTGAGAGGTTTCAACCCGGCCGATCTTCTAGAAACAAAAGATCTACGCTGGGGGGTCTTCGATACTTTTGTGTGTTAGCGCTCGGAACGAGAGTTTCCCAGCGGTGACTCCATCACCACCGAAACGATTCGAAACCTCAGCTCTGGGTTTTTCTTACTCTTGGGAGCTGCACACGGGGGAGGCTTGGCTACTGGAGAAGATGCGATTGGGTATTTTGCTATCTAAGATCTATAATTCGGTTGTTATACCGATTTTTTTCGGCCGTCGTGAATCGCTACACCTGCCTGTTTTTGCAATAACCACCTTTTTCACTTCTCATTGTCATCATCGACGTTGTCTCCGGGTACGTCTTTCCTTATTGCCGTCCTTGGTGGAATCAGTATCGGCTTTGACTTCCGATACGCTGGCCTTTGGTTGCCATTAGCGCCAACTGTTCCATGCATGCTTGAACATGGCCCCCATTTAGACTTGTTGATCTATCATTTGTGCCCCCAAGGTGCCCAACAGTGCCCAATGTCGACTATGTAGATAGATAAGGTGTTGCGGGAAAGAATCACTTTGAACCCGTCGGTGCCCATGTCAACTGCTATTTAGAGCATGGCCTTTACATTTCTTTCTTGTCCACGGTGTTCACCGCCAGCCTTCCATGAGCATCTCGAAACTACTTTGTTTATTATATCAGATAGGTATTTTTAATGCCTTGAAGATATTTTACTAGAATTTGCAGTGCACGAGAAGGGAATCAGTCAAGTATGGTCCACTTTGGATGTGAAGGGTTCAGGTGTAGGGTGGCATGAGCTTCACAGCTGATGCAGCTCAACAAATCAACCTTCCAGGGTCATTAAAACCGAGATATGAGAGTTTTCAATATCAAAGCATCTAATGAGTCTGCTATTCAGGATACTAACTAGTTCCTATTTGCAAAATGACTTGGGTAGCTGCTCAGATGGCTAATTCCAATTCTGGGTCTTGCAAACATAATCGCAAGTTCAAAATTGGCAGCCAGAAATCCTCGGTTTCATGGTCTAACGGTTATGACTGCGGATTCTGATTCCGCCAGCGAGGGTTCGACTCCCTCTGAGACCTTTCTTTTTGCGTCATTGCCCATTATCTCAACATATTGCTATGTCGTTGTTCGGTGTCTAGATTTAGCCTTTAAAGTTTATTTTTACTCTGCGTTGTCAACCTAAGGATTAGGAAGGTGGTAGTAGTATTTTTAGGCAGCCATGTGGGATGCCATTGGCCATATCCGGAAAGGTAAAGTCTTTAAGCGACGGGGGAACTTTTAGGGTACGTAGCTTGAATGTCACGATGTCTCTCGCGCTCACCTTTTTTGGTGTTTTGTCCATTTGAGACAAGTCAGTTTGTCTAACCGAAATGATCGCCAGGCCGTCCCCTCTGTTCAAGCAAGGCGACTGGTCCGGCAGATGTCAAAGGGGCCAGTAGACATTAGCCGCGCTGCAAAATGGGGGGCGGGCTACCACACCGGCAAGCACACCACCCGGATCTACGGTAGAGCCCGGCGCACAGCAGACACACACACACCTCCCCCTTGTCACAGTTGAGGAGGAAAGAGGAATCTTGGCTTTGGAGGCGGTGCTACGGCGAGGGAGAGGGTGCCTTGTGATACACGTGCGCAACGTCGGTCAGACACACGAAAGCAAAAACGTGCGGCCAGAGTGTGTCAGGTGTTCTCGGCCGAGATTTCTTGTCGAATCACCACTTTTGACAAGCTGCAGGCCCTTGCTAACTTGCCCGGGCTTGCATATTCCTCTCCTGTGGAGCCAAAGTGAGGGGAGGACCCTGAGGTGTCACCGCCGGGGCAAATCAGAGCTGCAGCTGGGCCAATGCGGCAGGCAATCGTCCTCGATCGAGACCCAGCATGCCGGGGAATCATTCAAGACCAAAAGGACAACGGCCACGGGCAGGTCCGTACATGTATGGAGAAGTTCCAGATTCCAGGCTAGAGCAACAGCTTCCACGCTAGAGCAGACCATGTGAAGCAATTGGTGGGGGTCGCGGAGAACAAGTAAAAGTGTCAGTGGGGACACCGTCTTTTTGAAGCCATCGTGAGATGCAAATTTCTGTCGAGTAGCACTCGAGCCCAGATTGGGATAGTCTCGGCTGTGAGCGAGTCAACACCGGGAAACCTTTCCTTGTCTAGTATTACGCTACGATTATGGCTAAAATAGGCCCTTCTATCTAGTAGATGCTCCGTGGCACGGGGCCGGTAGTCATGGGTGCTGTGCTGACCGCAAAAGCACAACTTTTGTCTTCTCGCTCTCTTAGATGTCCAAACATGTAATCACCAACCCGCTGCACCATCTGGACTGGAACCAGAATCCACCAACAACAAATCATAGAATAGAAATCAAACAATCAAATTTTCAAACCCCAATCCTCGCAGATCACGTAACCAGTTGACGCTCTCGGTTCCCCGCGAATCCTGCATGGCCCACGCCGCCTTGAGCATCTCAATGGCCGTAAAGAGGTAACCCCATGGGCAAATGTCCCAGATCGACAAGAGCCGTGTCATAGTCCACGTACGCTTTTCTGGATCACGCGTCTCGGCTCCTGCAATAAACGTTGGCCACGATGATGCTTTAAAGTAAACATCGTCTTCGCCAATTGCAGCCAAGTGGCTTAGCGTGTCTTGCAGGAGAAAGTCCGTGTCAATCGTCCTCATAGATCGTACCAAGGGCAGCGCTTGTAGAATGTAGAGACACGCGGCCGACCTGTGTGCCGCCGCTAGGTGCACTCGGCTTTCGAGGTCCATGGTGACATTGTGTTGTCGGAGATACTCGGCCCATGCCGCAATGTCGACAGCAAGCGCTTGATCAATCAGGGCAAGCGCCTCATCGGCTGCTGTAAGGGACTGGTCGGTCCATGGCGTCTGGTGGGACAGCTGAGATGCAGTCAAGAT